AGTATTATATGTGGCAAAAGGTAATAGGAGCAAGTATCATTAATCTTCTTTGGGTTAGTATGAATTTTATGGTGTGTATCATGTTTTGAAAAATAAGGACTAGCTTCTAAGCACAGAATAGAACTTGCTTGTTTATTTTGTTCTTAAAAGGGATGTTTTAAAAATTACAAAGTGAATGTTGCCTAACATTTTCACAGGCTTAGGGGAAAGGGTTATGCTATGGACAGATAGCATTTCAGTTAAATTCAGGCCATACAGAAATAGATTTAAGTTTGAAAACTTGCACAGAGGATTATGGTATCAAATATGACAGCTAGATTCTAGTTTGGACAATATAGGTTTAGCAGACTTTTGTTTCTTTTTCTTTAAAAGTAAATATTCAGTGAAACTACAAAAAATGAGAAACCATTTTGGAGAGAAAAGATAAGATTAAATCAAAACTGGTTGAGCTGATTCATTGGATATTACATTTAACTTTAGTGAGATAATCATACAATACCTGGTAACTAGGAAATCAGGAGTTTTGTGTGCAACTTCTAAGAGGAGGTGTGGAAGCAAGGACTTTGTTAGCATGTGTGTTATTGTGTGACTTAGAAAAGTGATGCCTTTTTGGGTGAGCAAATAAAAATGTCCTTTCTTCACAGTCCCATGTCAAGTACGTGACTTGCTAAGCAGATCAGGGGCTGGAATTTAAATTCCACTTATGCTCCTGAAACTAATAGGGTATAGCCAGCTAAGAATATATTGCCATCCTAGAGAGGAAGCAGAAAATTAAATCTGGGGAGTGTTGAAGTGTGGTCTAGTGTAATAGTGAAGAAGCAAAAGTGCATTTACTGTGGAAGCATAAAGGAAGAAACAGCAGAAGGTGAAAAGCACAATAGAGAAAAGAAGTAGAATAAAATGCCAATTTTGCTCATTTTGCAATTTTACCTGAGGCCATAGGAATCCTTGTATCCTGCCAGCCTGCCTATCTCCTTTACGAAGAGGAGAGGAATGGGAAAGGGGAAAAAGAATTTTCGTGCTCAGCTTTCTGCTCACACTTTATTACACGTAAGATATAACACAGTATTTACGGAATTTTCCTCATTTGCAAGACATTTTGGGATGTATTCCTCTTGAAGTTAAGTGGCATTTTGGGTGTATTTTGCAAATGAAAGAGAGAAGGCACAAAGGGCTTCTGCGGCTTGCCAAGGTCACCGTATTCTTTGAGACAAAACCAGGATTAGAAGTCCAGTAATAGAAATGCCACTACAAAGTTTGTCAGCGGAAGCTGAGATTTCTTTCTATAGCAACTTTTATGCCCCAATGAATTATCCTTTCTTTGTTTTTAGATTTATGTACCAATAAAAAGTGTTTAGTCAAAAGGAGATGCTTTTAAGCAATCAGTGTAATTGGAAGCAATAAGATAAGACTGTAGAATGTGCTAACATATCTCTGTAAAAAAAAAAGTGCTGATAAAGATGCTAGTACTAATTTTTTTATTATTTCTTTGAAAATACTAAGATTAAAAATGCTGAGACCTGCAGTTTTGCCCTCTGGATTTATGTGGGGTCCTGCTGGTTGCTTTTTAGAAGGAGAGGATGCTTGATTAGAGTTAACACTAGGAGGCTGAAAACCTGTCAGGCTTTACATAAAAAATTGGTTGCTTATGCCCACTGTTTTTGCATGGTGTCAGCATTTATTACCTCTAAGCAATTTAAAAAGCATTACTCCTTAAACTCTCTACTATTCCTAAGAAAACAAAAATAAAAATATACTTTATGTAATTTTTCCTTAAGAAATTACTCTTTTCTTTGATCACTCTTACTCTTTGGAATGAGAATATACAATTCCTACTGAGTTAATTTCTAATCAGCACAAATTCAGAGCATTCACTGAAGGAAACATTGAAATCAGGAAAACGGAACACTAGCTGTTATATTCTAGAAACAGAAAGGCATGGGATCAAGTCTACTACAGTTTCCTTAAGCCCTTGCATCCTCCATGCTATTCTATGAACCTCCTTAACACACTCAAGTTTCAGGGCCTTTGCATTTACTGTTTACTCTTCTCACTGATGTGTAAGTCACTCCTTCAGTTTCTTTTAACTCTACTCAAGGGCCACCTTACTAGAGAGAATTTCTCTGACTATACCTTTTTTGTTAAGATTTTATTTATTTATTTATTTATTTATTTATTTATTTATTTATTTGACACAGAGAGAGCACAAGTAGGCAGAGCGGCAGGCAGAGGGAGAGGGAGAAGCAGGCTCTCCGCTGAGCAGGGAGCCCGATGTGGGGCTCAATCCCAGGACCCTGGGATCATGACCTGAGCCGAAGGCAGCCACTTAATCAACTGAGCCACCCAGGCGCCCCTCTGACCATACCTTTTAAAACAGCTTCCCTCCCACCTCACTATCCATCCCCTTACCCTGCTAGAATCATAGGATAGGGCCCGAGGGTGGAGAGAGTGGGTAAGTGTGGTGCTATTACCTGAAGTTGGAGTCACAAAAAGATTCTACTTCTGCCTGTGGTGCTGCCTGAGGTGAAGAAAGAAAGAGAAATACTCTGGCTTCTCCCAGTAGTGCCTTCACTGCCTGAACCATTGTCAGAAATCAGCAGACACAGAAGCCTGGAAAATGGAGCTTGCAGAGTTTGTTCCTCTGAGATACAGAGCAGAGCAGAAGGTGAGGAATGAATCTAAGAATGCCTAAACCCAAGACCAGAACAGCTGCTAATAGCTATTCAGTTCTGCTCTATGGCAGATACAGAGCTAAACAGTTGACATGAATCCTCACCTAGGAGGTAAATACTAGTATTATCCCCAGTTTATGGATGAGGCTTGGAAAATTAAGTACATTGCTGAAAGCCATGAATTAAATAAAAGACCAAGTTAGAATTGAATCCCGGTTTGTCATACTCCAAATTGCTTTTAGTCCTCTTGTTTTATAAATGAGGAAAAAGTAATTTTGGAGAAGAAAAGAAACTTGCTGCTGAAATGACAGGAACTCAAGTTACTCCTATTAAGTTTTTATACATATTAACAGAGCTAAAACTTTTATGCTGTTACTGTAGCATTTAGAGTTCAAAGGAAGCTCCCATTCAGATGAGGGAGTGCCCTTACACCCTGAAAGTATCACTGAGCAACCCTCTGTAGCCAGTGTATTCAAAGGGATTATTAATCACAGCCACCTAAGAGTGTTGAAAGAGATTAAATAGATAATACATCTATAGGCTTCCGAATAGTGTGCCATGGAGTGGGTACTTGCTAAATGCTTAGTAAATGCTGAATAGCTGTTGTCATTGTTAATATTTTTATTCTGCTGACCTTGAGTGGTTATCACAGGAAGGAGTATAGATCAGAAATTTTATGAAATGTTATCCAAGTGCTTTATCAAACTATAATATCCTCCTGTCGGACTTTTTACTTCGCCTGTATTTAGGAGATTCATTACAAGATAGTCAAGAATGGGATTTTATGTTTGTTTTTAAGTAAATAGTCCTCATGATGCCTTAGTTTGTTAATTCAGGGCTTTTTTTATGTACCAGTGGTTTTCTATGAAATGTCATCTCCTCTTATTATTTCATAAGTTTCTTTCATCTAGGATGGCCTTTTTTTCCAACTATTACCAACATATGACCTTCTCCTTCCTGTACCCATGGCTTTTCTTGGCTTCCTTCTTAATAGTTTTAACTCCCTAGAAATTACGTGCAGAAATTATTTTAAAACACAGGGCTCACAATGGAATGCGGACCTATTTGCACTGTTTTTAGAATTTGAGGTTTTGGACTTGATATGGTAGAGATTTGAACCGCAATATAGAGGATGTAATGATGACCGTGCGACCATTTGCACATTGTGATCTATTATTTTTGTACATGCTTCAAGGGACCATTTACAGTATACTGACCTCAGAAAACTGTATAAAGTAAATGTAGAGATCAAAGGGAGGGTAGTAAAAAGTCCTCGAATGATCTCTGAGAGTTTAATCTACTCATTATTTATTCACAATTAAGAATTTTATCTGCTGACCTGTTTTGTTGTTCAGTATGTGAGCAGGATATTTTCTCCATCGTGTATCAAAAGCAGTGACTGTTTTAGGTGTTACAACTGCAGAACTCTAAAAGATAAGTCAAATTAGGTCATATTGCTCAAACACAGTGAGATGTTATACTTTTAATTCTTTGTGAACTTAAAGATTGAATTTAGGATGGCCTGTGGTATTTGGAATTTAGACCTAATACATTAGCAAGGTTTTCCTTTATACAAAAATTCAGGTAGAAGAAGCATTCCAAACTTTTAAAAACAAATATCCTTCTCTTGACCCTCTCAACACCCTTCTCTTTCCCCACCCAACACATACACATGTTTTGAACCAATTTAGTATTTTATTTTCTGTGATGTTCATAGATTAAATGTAAATCTTAGTAAGTCCAAATTCTTTGAATTTGAAGGTGTTTAGACTTGAGGCCTAGCATTTGCCCAGTTTATTCCACATCTTAAAATATGGTTTTTGTCAAGGCTAGACAGTAAACAGCTCTAGTAGTAGGAATCCAAACCACAGTTAATAGGGCTGAATGTTGTGTTACAAACCTGCCTCTTGATTCCCTAAAATAAAGAGCTGGGAGTAGCTCTGGCAACTGGACCTTAAATAATGTTACCAAAAGACATTATGTGTTTTAGTTTCTTCATCTAGTTTTTATGTGTGTTTATAAAAAGGTACCTGATGGATTGATTGCAAAGTGGACTATGACATGTATCTGAGTATAAAGTTATAAGGAAACTGTCTCACACATAATTTCGTATAAATTACTTCAGTTGTTTATTCTGTGGCTAAGATTACAATTCAGATACATCAGTCTGAATACTGCTGTAGAACAAGTAAATGTAAAGTAAATGACAGCATTGTAGCTACAGCATCAGGCAGTGACGAGTTCAGGCAATTTTAATTTTAGGGACATTGTCCCTTAGTTTTGGTATTTTTCAACAATCATACCATTTATGATTTTATTTTATTTTAGCCATGTCCTTTGGGGGCCCGAGATTTTCGAGAGAAACAGTGTGCAGACTTTGACAATATGCCTTTCCGTGGAAAGTATTATAACTGGAAACCCTATACTGGAGGTAATGTATAACCAGCAGAGCATTCATCATGCTTGAGAGCTTTGCAAACATAAAAGAATATATAAATACATACAAACACACACATACATTCATACACCTACTAGTAAAAATTAGTGTTTGCAAATCAGAGCAGGATAACGCTTACAGTACTATACAGTTTCCCTGTAATAAAGCTTATGTTAGTAAAAATGTTCAGAAATCATTTATAAAAATCTAATTCTATTTAACAAGGTACAAAAGTCCAAGAAAGGATATAAATTCAAATAATGCTTTTGAGTTCTTGAGACTTCCTTGGGGTATATGGACATTACATTATAATCATTTATAATCACTGAATATTTGGAATTATCACCCTAAAAACAACTTATAACAATATAAATCAACTCAAAAGTGGCCAGGAAAACCTGTATGCTTTTTTGGTCAAAGGCCAAGGATCTTCCCATAGATTATTATTATTCTTTTTTAGTGTTGAGAAGCATTTTTACCCTTTAATTTGGGCACGTATCAAGCACTAATTATTCAGTAAACACCAGAAGTTTTCTTGTACTCTCAAAATACAAATTTAATTTTGTTAAAATTTTCTCTTAGAGAAATTGAATGTACTTTTAAAAAACTTTTATTGTTTGTTTTTTATTCTAATATCTTACCTTGAAAATTTTCCAACAGAGCAATACTAAAAGAATTTTACATTGACAAGATTCTATTATTCACATTATAATATACTTTGTTACATGTCCAGTCATCTCTCTATCCATTAATCCATTTATTTTTTAGATGCATGTCAAAGTAAATTGTAATCATTGCTATACTTTCCTCTAAATACTTCAGCATGTATAACATTAACCACAGTTCAATACTTATTTATTGTTTTTTCAGGTTAGACCATGTACAATGCAATGCACAATCTTAACTGTACTTCCCTTGAGTTTTGACAAATATGTACACCTGCAAAGCCCTATTAATATATTGCCATACCTCCAAAATTCTCATAGTCCTCATAGTGCTTCCCAGTCAATAGCTGCCTATTTCTTCCAAGAGGCAACCACTGTTCTGATATTTTTTTCCTTACCATAGATTAGTTTTGCTGGTGCCAGAACTTCATATAAGTGAAATCATGTCATAGTTGGCCTGTGTTTTGGGCCTAATATTTTTGAGATCCATCCACATTATTGCATGTATGAATAGCTTATTCCTTTTTATTGCTGAGCAGCATTCCATTGTAATAACCAGTTTGTTTTCCCATTGTGTTATTGATGGCTGGCCACCTGAGTTGTTTCTAGTTTTCAGCTGTTCTGAATAAGCTGCTGTGAACATTTTTGTAGAAGTCTTTTTGTGAGCATATGTTTTCATTTCTCTTGGGTAAATACTTAGGAGTGGAATTGCTGGGCAGTAGGGTAGGTGTGAGTTTAGTTTTAAAAGAAATTGCCAGATGTTTTTCCAAAATGATGTACCATACTACACTCCCACCAACAACATGTGAAAGTTATGTTTGTTCCACATCCTTGCCAATGTTTGGTATTTTCAGTCTTCTGCTGGTCGATGTATAATAATGTCTCAGTGCAGTTTTAATTTGTGTTTTCTGATCCTTGATTATGTTGAGCACATTTCTATGTGCTTATTGACCATTTATAAGTCTTCTTTTGTAAAGTGTTCAAATTCTTTGCCTATTTTTAATTGGTTATGTATCTTTTTATTCTTCAGTGGCAGTCATTTATCAGATAAATTTTATGAATATTTTTTCACATCTTTGGGCTTTCCTTTTACTTTTTTAACGGTGTTTTGGATGAGTATAAGATTTTAATTTTGATGAATACTATTTTTTCATTTTTTTTCCTTTTATGGTTATTGTGTTCAGTGTCCTATCTTAGAAATCTTTGCTTTCTCAACTCAAGAAGATGTTTTCTTATGTTTTTTTCTAAAAGCTGTATGGTTTTTGTCTTTACATTTGGATCTACAGTCTAAAAATAATATGGGGTTATGTTGTGTATTTGTAGTTTGGACTATATTTTGTTCTACTTATTTGTCAACAATAGAAATACACAATGAAATGTGCACAATGTGCAATGAAATCAATACTATGCTAGCACCACACTGACTGAATTATTATAAATACGTAGTCTTGGACACAGGGTGTAAGTTCCTCCAAGTTTGATCTATTTTTCAAGAGTCCTTTGGATATTCTAAGTGCTTTGCACTTCTATGTAAATTTTAGAGTTGCTATTAATTACTACAGAAAAACATGCTGGGCTTATGATTGCTATCATGTTGAATTTATAGATCAATTGAAGGGGAACTGATAAATTAACAATATTATTTTAACATTGAATATTGAATTTGATACTGAATTTATGAATGTTGTATATATATATATATGTATATATATATATACCCATTTATTTATGTTTTCTTTAATTTCTCTCAGCTATGTTTTGTAGTTTTAGGTGTTAGGTCTTGCACTTCTTTTGTTAAATCTATTCCTGAGTAATTTTTTTTTGAAACTATTGTAAATAAAAGTTTAAAATATATCATTTTCAATTGCTTGCTCTAGTATCCAAAAATACATAGATTTTTGTGTATTAAATTTGTATTCTGTGACCTTCCTAAATTTCCTTAGTTGTCCTCTCAGAACAACTATTAGTCCTAATAGTTGTTTTGTAGATTGCTTAGGATTTTCTTGGTAAATAGTCATGTTATCTGGAAGTAGAGACTGTATCAATTGTTATGCCTTTTAATTCACGTTCTTGCCTTAATGCACTGGATTGGCTCTTCAGTACAATTTGTACATGTATGATTATATGTATTTTTCTTTATTATGTCAAACCAACTTTTTATTCCTAGGATAAACCCCATGTGGGAATGATTTTTTCTCTTTTTATATGTTGTTGGATTTAATTTCTAATATTTTATTAAGGATGTTTGCATCTATTTTTTTTAAGGAATTCTGATTCACAAATATTTTTTTCCTGTCATGTCTTTGACAAGTTTGAGTACTAGTGTTACTCTGGCTTCCAGAAATAGAATCCCTGTTTATTTTGAATGAGATTGTAGGATTGGTATTATTTCCTCTTTAGAATAGATTCAGTACTAAAACCACTCAGGCTTGATATTTTCTTTGTGAAAAAAAAATTATTACAAATTCAACTCTTTTAGTAGATAAAGGGCTATTCAGATTTTTAAAAAATTCTTAAGTCTTCAAGAAACTTATGTTACTCCCCTATCTCATTTCTTGACAGAAAATTGATCATAACATTCTCTTACTGTCCTGTCTAATATCTGTAGGCTCTGTAGTGATGTATGCTCTTTCATTTCTGATATTGACAATATGTGTTTTCTCTCTTTTTCTTGATCTGTTTGCTTGAGGTTTATTAATTTTATTAATCTTTTCAAATAGTCAGCTTTTGGCTTTAGTACTTTTCTCTATTACTTTTTTCTCTTTTATTAATTTTTGCTCTTATATTTATTATTTTTTAGATTTGGGGTTCATTTTGCTTTTCTGCATTACCAAACTTGATTTTTTAAAAATTGCCCTTAGTTCAAAATCTTTTGTTATTTACATTGTGATTTCTTCTTTGACCCATGGGTTATTTAGAACTATGTTATCTTTATTTCCAAATATTTGCTACTTTCTAGATTTTTTTTGGTTCTTGATTTATAATTTCTACTATGATCAGAGAATAGTCTGTATGATTTAAATTTTTTAAATTAATTGAGACTTGTTTTATAGTATCATTTCTTGTTCATGTTGGTAATGTTCTATCTATGCTTGAAAAGGATGTGTTTTCTGCAATTGTTGGATACAGTGTTCCATAGATATCCATTGCATCAAGTTGGCTGATAGTATTGTTTAAATCTTTTATATTCTTTCTGATTTTTTTCTGCTATAGTTCTTCTATCAGTTACTGAGAGAAGTGTGTTAAAATCTCCAACTGTTTTATGGCTTTGCTTTCTTTTTTGTAAGTTTTTCTTCATGTATTTCAAATTGCTTTTATTAGGTACGTATACGGTTAGGATTATTTTGTCTTACTGTAGGAGGAAAAGAAGTGTCTGATATAATTTACAGATTTAATACTTAGCATTTAGGTAATTATAAGCATAGTGAATTAACCCTAAATTCATAATAAGCTTTCGATGAAGGTAACTGGTAATGATGTGACCTTCCATTTAGAGAATCATCTTAAAAGTTTTCTCAAAATAGTAGCAGTACCTCTTCTGAAAACTCACTGTAGCCGAGTGGGGTGCCTAGGTGGCTCAGTTGGTTAAGTGTCTGACTCTCCTGATCTCAGCTTGGGTGTTGATTTCAGTGTCATGAGTTCAAGTCCTGCGTTGAGCTCCATGCTGGGTGCGGAGCCTACTTTAAAACAAAAAACAAAAAACCTCTCTGTAGCTGAGGAAGCTGAATATATCTTTAGTAATAAAAAAGGGAAAAATGTATTTTTATTATCATCACATATTATGGTAGTCTAAGGAATACAGCCATAGCATTTATATGTCCTACATATCAAATACTACCTTACATAATTAAAAAATGTTAAAATTGAGTAAACAACACTCATGTTCTCTTGTTAAAGCCTGATACATAAAAACCTACATTAAATTCCAAAGCACTATAATAAAAAATGGGAAAAGAACTATACTGAGTAGTAATGAAAAAAATCCCAGTAAGGTTCATGGAAATTTAGAGCAATTTTATTCATGAGAATCTTACAAAAATAAATATAAATACCTTGATTGTCAGTTTAGGAAGAAATTATTCTGTTTATTACTTGTTATATTTGTGCTCAGTAGAGCAAAAGGTACCATTAACTTAAGTCTAATAATAACATTTCAAATTATATAGAAGTTCTATAGCCTGTACACATTGAAAATGGAAGCAAACATGGACTTAGGCGATAGGTGGTAAACTGGCAGTTCAGCAACCAGTTTTTACTTATATAGATGTTTTAATCTCCACAGTATTTTTCAAAACTTTGAATGAATTACCAAAAAGAGTTTTTATTTTAAAAATCTAGGTTTCCATCTTCTCATGAAAAAACAGTATCTGACAATATTGGGCCATCTTCTTGCATTATAAAACAATCACCTATAACAATGATCTCCTTTAATGGAATGTTCTCTTTAATTTACCATTGTCTCTGTCACTCAGTTGGCTTGTCTCTTTTATTTCACATACCTTCCCTGAGATTTGTACTTTTTACTAAGACTAAGCATGTCATTTTATCTTTCTGCCTTATTTTTGTTGTTAGAAACAGTCTTCTTTATTTCAAAGAGAAATTTTATCAGCACAATTAGAATAAAAACAAAGTGTTTTAAACTTCATCAAATGAAGGTTGGACATAAAGTGTTTTTAAGTCATAATTTCAATCAGTAGTTACATACTTATAAGTAACTTTCCCATGCACTGTTTTGAATAAAATAAATTCATATATATTGCTGTCTTTCCAATATACTATGAGATTATGATATTACTCTTTTTTTTTAATTCTACTATTTATGCCTATTTTTCACATCAACCTTAAGAAATACAAATTTCAGTGACAAAATGAAAATGATGAAGTTATTCTATTCACAAAATAAAATTAGGTATTGTTTTAATTATTCATGTTTAATGCTATATGTAATTATCTTTGATTTAGTAACAAGAATTATTCAAATTTAATGCTATAATTAATTTTACCTTTGATTTGCGTATCTCTTAAAAACTTATTTCTACACTAAAGACACATTCATGGAATATGGTATGTTTAAAGCAGGTATAAATTTAGAGGGTTTTGTTTTGTTTTGTTTTTTCTTTTTACAACTACCATATCCTTGCTTGAAGTAGAGTTTTTGTATCAGCTTCAGTTAACAAGTGACATATGTTGTAGAAATTCCCACTTGCTATATGAAGTTATTGTGTCAAGCCACAAACTTTATTTTCTTAGTTTTTGAAAAAGGTTTTTATTTCATCCATTTTTTTCAACATTCAGGTACCTCTACTGTGATTCCTTTTGACCTAAAATATATTGTTAAATATATGTTGGAAATACCTGAACATTTTAAACCTAAAACTGTTCAATAGATCTTCTGTCAAGTTGCACAAACAATGAAATTAAATACGAAATTTTAGTAAAGGAGGAAAGAAACATCTGGGTATATAGTGAGGGAATGATGTCTGTATGAATTGTAAATTTACTGTGGTTAATATGGAATCACTGTTTCTTAAAAGAACCACTCCATTTATTTCTTTTCTGCTGTATTTGTCCAGGTGGGGTAAAACCTTGTGCATTAAACTGCTTGGCTGAAGGTTACAACTTCTACACTGAACGTGCCCCTGCGGTGATTGATGGGACTCAGTGCAATGCTGATTCACTGGATATCTGTATCAATGGGGAATGCAAGGTTGCTCCAATTATGAATTTTACTCCTTTTTGGGGGGGCTTTTGAGACTTTTATCTTTTTTCTCAGGTAGTCGCTCCTAATTAATACTATGCTCAGCTTTAATAAAAGAGAGCTACATTTTAGAGAAATTAGGTTAACAGTACATATAGTTAAAGGTAGAATAGCCAGGGTGCCTGGGTGGCTCAGTTGGTTGAGTGACTGCCTTCGGCTCAGGTCATGATCCTGGAGTCCTGGGATCGAGTCCCACATCGGGCTCCCTGCTCAGCAGGGAGTCTTCTTCTCCCTCTGACCCTCTTCCCTCTTGTGCTCTCTATCTCTCATTCTCTCTCTCTCAAATAAATAAAATCTTAAAAAAAAGGTAGAATAGCCTATTCATATTCAAACATCATGCAGATATGATTTATTTTGGTGTTCGAGTTATGTATAGAATAATTGCTAGAGCTCTGAATATATTTTGGACTTATTTCTGTTCTGTTCCGTTTATAAACAGATTACAAATATGATAGGAAGAGAGAGGGAACAAGGATTCAGCTCTTATTCATATGGCTACCACATGTTTTCATTGGAAGATTGTTTGATACATTTCATAGCATAATTTTTCCTCAAAGTGTAAAACAGCTATGTTCCTCCTACTTTGCCTCTTTTTGAAGCATTTTGAAGCACAGTGGTTTTCATTATAGAGTTAGTCTTTACCTTATTAAAGCATTTACTTTAGAGAATTAGCCTGACTAGTTGAGAGTTATAAGAGCAAATCCATACTGTTTTCCTAGACCTGTGAATAAATCTAATCATAATAAGAAAAGCCGCAAAAACCACTGTTCTCATAACTTTTTTCCTTGTTTGTTTTTATTTTATATTAAAGAGAAGCACAAAACTAAGTCTCAGAAACTGAGAAAGAAGAGATAAAAACTATCTGTTTTGTGTCATAATTTCTTACAAAAGTTTCTGTCCTTCAGGCTACTTGATTCTCAATATATCTAATGATCCTGTGCATGTGTGTTATTTCTATGACAGTATTAAAATTTTTTCGGGTAGCAAAGACAAAAGTGCAGGTTTTATTCAGAGATCACATGCCTGATATCAGTGGCTAAAGGTCATTATACAAATTCAAGTGCCAAAATATGTAACAAAAATGTATAAAAATCCACATTTCTATGATTTTTTAATTTTTTTATATCTTTTTTTTTTATTCATGAGAGACAGAGGGAGAGAGAGAGGGAGAGAGAGAGAAGCAGAGGGAGAAGCAGGCTCCCAAGGAGCAGGGAGCCCAATGCGGGACTCGATCCCAGGACCCCGGGATCACGACCCCCGCCGAAGGCAGACGCCCAACCATCTGGGCCGCCCAGGCGCCCCACATTTCTATGATTAAATGCAAAACTGAAAGGTAGAATTTCAGCTTCCAAGATCATATGCTTACATATGCTTGTTTTTATGGCAATTTTATTCAGCTGGTGGAAACAGGTATTCATTTTTAAACGTTTATGCAGTTTTAAATTCCACAACTAATCCTTGATGCTAACAATTGGATATCCAAAAGAGCCAGTGGTTTAGAAAGGTCAAACCATAATGCTCAGTCATGATTCCTGCTGTTATAAATGTTGTGTGTAGGACAACATGGCATTTTTCTTAATTCTTTCATTTCTTGATTGAAGGTATAAGTAAGAGTCCATTGCCAACAGATTATAATATTTTAAGATTTGGAACATGGTATCTGTAAATGAAGAAGAAATCTAGGTTGGAAATATAGACATATATTCCTTGGGGAATCAGAATTTTTTTCCTTTAAACTGATATGTTGAGAAATTTTAGCTAAGAACTTACTAGACAGTAAAGGAAAAAGTGGAAAGAGGAAAATATTTCCTGTTTTGATTTCCTTTATTGGAAAAACAAATAAATGAATAAGTTATATTTATTTGGTTAGTTATGGTTCCAAGAATTCCTCTTTATGACATACTGAATATTCTTCTCTGTTTTCAGCATGTAGGTTGTGATAATATTTTGGGATCCGATGCTAGGGAAGATAGATGTCGTGTCTGTGGAGGGGATGGAAGCACATGTGATGCCATTGAAGGGTTCTTCAATGATTCGTTGCCCAGAGGAGGTGAGTGTGTAGAGAGAACTCTTCCTCACACCACTGATGTCCTGGGAATAGTCAAAATGCTTGATTTCTTTCCCACCCCCTTCTTTTTGAATTTTTTATTTAGGCAGACTATGTTTTTTCCCTAAATTGCTTTCAGTCTCTTAAGTATTAAATATAGATTCATGTAAGATATTTTGAGGAAATATGATTCCCTTTCTACTTGACTTCCTTTAGCCATGTTTCCCTCAGATGGGAATTCCCACAGGGCGTTGATGGGAGAACAATGTGTTGAGAAAAAAACAAACAAACCATGAACCAGTATTATACATGTTGAGGCTTTAAAGACTATTTTGAGATATTTTTAGAGAAAAAGTAAAATATTCTATATGTGTTCCTGAACCTAAAAGGGGAATTTGCCCATATTTCATAATTTATAAAGTGCTAAGTCAAAGAAAGACTTAAAGAACAGGGGGGCTTATTACTGAGAGGTTCCTAAACACTCATTTTCTAACCAAGGCTGCATGTGCTGTTTATTACTAGCTATGTTCTGTATTCCAGGCTACATGGAAGTAGTGCAGATACCAAGAGGCTCTGTCCATATTGAAGTCAGAGAAGTTGCCATGTCGAAGAACTATATTGGTAAGTAGCTTATTTTGCTAGATTTTTTAAAATTACTGAGGAAAAACAGCACAGTATCCTAAAGGAAAAGACATATTGCTTGGGTAGAACACTTTCATGGTAAAATGAAGGAAGTTTCAGGTTTTATAAGACCACACATAAGAGCTAAACAAAAAATTAGTGGTTTATAACTTACTCTTTGCCAAGTTGGTTATTTGATTTTTAAAAAATCAATTTTATTGAGGTATTTATATATGATAAAATGCATTTATTATAAGTGTACATTTCAGGGGCGCCTGGGTGGCTCAGTTGATTAAGTGTCTGCCTCCGGCTCAGGTCATGATCCCAGGGTCTTGGGATTGAGCCCTGCATCCGACTCCTTGCTCAGTGGGGGTCTGCTTCTCCCTCTCCCTCTGTGCTTTCTCTCTCAAGTAAATAAATAAAATCTTAAAAAAAATAAGTGTATATTTCAAAGAGTATTGACAATTATATATACATATAAGTTATAATATGTAAATATATAAATAATGGCATAATTATTAATTACTATAAATATATGAATTATTACTTTATATATTACTATATATACGTGTGTGTGTATATATATATATATATATATACACCACATATTTTTATATTTATGTT